TACTGGTATCTGAGCTTTATAATCTTAAATGTGAAAAAAAAATAGCATCCCATAGAATTAGCTTTCTTTCTTCACATCAACCTTATGAGATAAGTACTATTGTTTCCATGAGAAAATTGAAGCTCCGAGAGGTTAAGTAACTTACCTAAAGTCATTAAGCAATAGGTGAGTGGATTTAAGGTTTGAGTCCATACAGTCCCGTTCCAGAGTAGTTGTTCTTAAATCACTTCAGTGTACTGTCCTTCAGCCTCTATATGGCCACCCATGGTTGGTGTGTTGGTGCTCATATACCTTAAGGTATTTGGGAAATTTTAGAACTAAATTCAGCATTAACTGAGGGAGTCTAGCCTTGTAAAATCTAGCATGATATTAGAATACAAAGGTGGACTTTTTGTAAAAACTGCATCTTGTATCAGAGCCACACATATCTCAGAAACTTTGGGTTGAGGATCACTTCTCTAGATGCTGGGTCCTACTTTGGTGCCATGTTTGATGACATTTGAATGGCTAGAATATCTTCCTTTGTATTGCCCATAAGCTAAGCATTTCTCCCACATGTGATCACTTTAACCCCACCATTTATCTTGGACCATCCACATTTAGGGTGAAGAGATTGTATCACAGAATTCCCAGGAAAGCAGAGCAGATGAGAGTGAGGATGACACATCATCCCAGGTCTCCAAGAGCAAAGCAACGGAGGTATCTCTACATAAGGCACCAGAGTGTGGCATTGATGTTGCATTTCCTTAATTATTCTGAGTTGGTAAAGTGCAGAAGTTTCGCTGTTTCTGTTTATAATCAAAGGCTTCTATGCTTATCTTCATCACCTCCCTCCAAAAAAGCTTCTGTGCTTCTATGAGTTCTCTGGGGGCCAGGAAAAAACCCTCCCAATTAAAGTCATTCTTGAGTATCTCAAGTTGTGGCATGTGTTATAGAGTTGAAAATTCCCTTCCATTATAACCTATTTTTTCTGAATTCATGTCTAAAATCATTTTAAAAGGGAGGACAGAATGTTCTGTGAATATTGAGAAGAATGAGTTAAACCATTTAAATGTTCTACTATATAAAATAGAAATGTGAATATATTTGGTAGAAGCACAGAATCAAAAACTGCCACTACTGAGGACTAAAATAAGAGTAGGGGTCCTTATTCTTTTCTGGACTACTACAGATACTTTTTCAAAATATATATATTTTTTATTTCAGAGAGGAAGGGAGAGAGAAAGAGATAAAAACATCAATGATGAGAGAGCATCATTGATCAGCTACCTCCTGCACACCCCACACTGGCAATCAAGCCACAACCTGGTCATATGCCCTAAGCCACACCAGCATAATACAGATATTTTTAAAACTTTAAAGAAAGCTAGAGAAAAAGGTATCCTATATAATAAAAGGCTAATATGCAAATTGACCAAACGGCAGAATGACTGATTGCTATGATGCACACGGACCACCAGGGGGCAGACGCTCAATGCAGGAGCTGCCCCGTGGTGGTAGCACCGCTCAGCCAGAAGCCGGGCTCATGGCTGGTGAGCGCAGTGGCGGTGGCCAAAACTGTCAGTCGGACATCCCCGAGGGCTCCCAGACTGCAAGAAGGCACAGGCCAGGCTGAGGGACCACCCCCCTCAAGTGCACGAGTTTTGTGTACCGGATCTCTAGACTATATATCTAAAAGCCTAAGCGACTGGCCGGTAGCTATGACGTGCACTGACCACCAGGGGCCTGACGCTCAACGTAGGAGTTGACCCCTGGTAGTCAGTACGCTCCCACAGCGGGAGCGCTGCTCAGCTGACAGATGGGTGCCAGGCGCTGGGCTAATGGCTGGGAGTGCAACTATGAGCCTCTCCCTCAGACACTCCCCCTGCATGCCCAAGTGGCAGTGGCAGCGGCAGCAGGCGCAGTGGGGCTGGGATGAGTGGGAGTGGCACAGCGCCCAGCCCGGGCTCCGGCTCCTCCCGGGCTGCCTGCTGTCTCCCACACTATTTTGTGCTATATGGAATCAACGCGAACAGCAGGCTGGAGCCCTACAAGCTGGCGGATAAGGCCGGGCTGTGGCAGCACGGAGGTCCACTAATCCCCAGCCAGGCCGAGGGACCCCACTGGTGCACAAATCTGTGCACTGGGCCTCTAGTATGTTTATAAAGTTTGGGTACAATTCAGCTGAGTTATAGACACCAAAAAACTCAGATTTAAGAACCCTTGCTGTGGAATCTCTATAATGCAATTTGAGGCTGCTGCAGAAAGGTCATCGAGTATAAAAAATTTTATTATATGGTCCTCTGTATAGTATACCTCTCTATCTTTTTCTCATAAAAAAAAAAAAAAATTGAGACAGGCAGTATCCTATTTCTCCTAAAATCCCTCCCAGATTAGAGTTACAGGCCAGAGAAAATTTGATGCTTGATTACTGCTGAGGTACACCAGATTTTTAATTTACAAACTTTTTTTCTTTTCTTTTCTTTTTTTTTTAGAAATGACAGCAACTCCCTGGTGTGGGCCGGAGGGTTCATCGGGAATATATATATATATATTTTTTTTTTTTAAACATATTTTTATTGATTTCAGAGAGGAAGCAAGAGGGGGAGAGAGATAGAAACATCCACGATGAGAGATAATCATGGATTGGCTGCCTCCTGCAAGTCCCCACTGGGGATCAAGCCCACAACCTGGGCAGGTGCCCTTGACTGAAATCGAACCTGAGACCTTTCAGTTCACAGGCCAACGCTCTATCCACTGAGCAAAACCGCTAGGGCTCTTTTTCTTTTTTTAATACTTACCCGAGGATATTTTTTCCATTGATTTTTTTTTTAATTCTGTTTTTATTGATTTCAGAGAGGAAGGGAGAGGAAGAGAGATAGAAACATCAATGATGAGAGAGAATCATTGATGGGCTGCCTCCTGTATGCCCCTCACAGGAGATTGAGCCCACAACCTGGGCACATGCCCCTGACTGGAATGATACTTGGGACCCTTTAGTCCGAAGGTCGATGCTCTATCCACTGAGCCAAACCAGTTAGGGCTCCAATGGTTTTTTTAGAGCGTGAAAGGGAGGAAGGAGGGGGAGAGAGAGAGAGAAAAAAATGGATGTGAGAGACACACATCGACTGGTTCCCTCCCACACATGTCCTAACTGGGGCCAGTGATTGAGCCTACAACCGAGGTACATACCCTTGGCCAGGAATTGAACCCTCGAGCCTGCGGTCTGTGGGCTGATGCTGTCTAACCACTGACCTAAACTGGCCAGGGCCAGAATTTTTAAATTTTTTTTGTTCAGGTTTTTTAACAGATTTCAGAGAGGAAGGGCAAAGTAGAGAGAGAAAGAAACATCAAAGATGAGAAAGAATCATTGATCAGCTACCTCCTTCAGGCCCCCCACTAGGGATCGAGCCTGCATCCCAAGCATGTGCCCTGACCTGGAATCAAACCATGACCTCCTGGTTCATAGGTCGACATCCAACCACTGAGCCACACCAGCTGGGCCAGAATTTTTAATTTTAACAAACATTTCATTCTATATTAAATATCCACTATGTTCCTGTGTCACATACATGCAGTAGAGCAGAAGGACCATGGCTTATTTTTAAATTACGCAAATTTGGTTGTTGCAGAGTGGCATTAATCAGTTTCAAATGGCCTCCCTCCATAGTCTTGGATTAGAGGTCATGATAAAAAACTCATTTTTCAGATGAATGATTTAAAACTTATTAATTTTGGTAACATTGATACAGTATAGTTGTAAGTCCTGTGAGAGCAGTATTATTCAGGCTCACTCAGATGACCTAAAGTATTTAATTATCCTTTGCCCTTAGGATGGTGAAGAAGATGAAGCAAGTGATAGAGAAAAGGAGCAAGATAGTGATGAGAGTGACGACGACACTGATTAGACCACAGAAAGATGGACGCCTCCTCCTTATCTCTGCCAGCCTCTTAGCATTTTGTGTTCAGGATTTGAAATCTGTCTACCTTTCTCACTAGAAGCATCCTATTTTGTCCTTAAAGTGGGGGCTTTATTGATTCAACTTAATAGTGAATTTTATAGATCCTCTAAAATTAAAGGCCCTGGCTCAGGATTCCAGTGTAGCATTCAGTGCTGTACTGCGGAGTAGTCATGATTCTGGACTTTGGGAGCTAGTTTTGAATTTATTTTATAATTTATGTTTGTACCAGTTTTACAAATAAATTGTTTTAAGTTTTGCTTCAGCTACTTCTTTCCTCTTTCTGGATTTCCTTTACTTAGTCAGGGATTAGATGAAATTGAATTGGGTTTTCAGCAGAAAAATAATGAAGACCGGTGCCAACATTAGTTCTACCAGTGTAAATCATGTTTTCTATTGTAAGAATTATCTTTCTTTGCAATAAGAAGATCTTTGTGTTCTTTTTAGAGGAGTGATAAATTTCTTGTCAATGCCCAAATAAGGTTAAAAATGAATATTTTGGCTGCTTTAAAATAATGTTTGGTCATCGTGTAGATGTAAGACAAAGGGGGAAAAGGCACCATCAAACTCTCATGTTGAATTTGTATATGTAATGGTTATTTCCACATTATTCTGAGTTATACCTATAATCAAGTTATAACTATGTACAAAATTACTTATAGTTTCTTAGAAATAGAACATTAGGAGTACACTTGAGCTAAGATGGAAAGTCTCACATCTTTGGTCAGAAAGCCCAGTTTCAGTGCTGCTACCAAGTTCTTGCTGAGCTACAAATATTATTTAATACTTGTTAACATTTTTTGGTACTTTCTTATAATATTTGTTAATATTTCTACCCACTTTGGTATTCTCTAGTGGTATTAGGAGGTGGCTGTTTAGATGTTTGTTTTTCAAGTAGAGAAAGTTTTTTGTGTTTTGTTTTTAAAATTAATCCTTAACCCACATATAGATTTTTGACCCCTTCATCCTCAGGTATATCGAAATTGACGTCTCCTTCCTTGACACACCTTTGTTTCCCCAGTTCATTATGGATGTTTTAAGTGAGTTCACACTAGGCTTATTTATATGGTTTGTTTAATGGTTCTTTATCACATGTACATGTCAATGCTAATTTGACTCTCTTTTAAATGGTTGTTCAACATTTCAATGGAAATTGTTCTTCCTTGCTCTGTCACTGGCCCTTTTTTGGAGGGGAAGGGAGGAAAGAGTCTCCTGAATTTTCACTGCTTTACAGAAAAGCAAGATGGTTGGGGCAATGTCAGTTTCCTTTACATGGACAGGTTTCTGCAAGCTTCAGGCACATAGCAAAGGGAATGGTGTGAGGAACAGGAATCAGGTGGGGGGCCCTTTACTTGGAGTGTTGCAAGGCAAAGGTACACTTCTTGTATGTTGCATACAGCAAGAGAATAGAGCGCAGCATCTGTTTGCACATGGTCACTGTCATCTGAATCTGAGGTTCCTTAAGTCCAGTGGGCCACTGGTGCTCCCGGCTGATGATTTTGCAAAAGGCTGACTTGTCTGAAACTCTGAAGGTCCCAGTCCACTTTGGAGGCTGAGCCGTGATGACCCTGCCAAAGACCGAATCCACTCCACTGAGGCGGACAGGCTGGGGCTTCCTGACCAGCCCTTTCTTGTTGTTTATGGTTCGGAGCTCTGATGTGTGGCAGGGTAACTTGGGACTCACCCCAGCTTCCAGGAATGGGCTATCTAGGACTAGAGTGACCTCTTGAAAGCACAGCTGCACTTCAAGGTCAGAAGGGGTGTGTGGGAAGCAGGGGGAAGCCCTAAAGGGGTGCTTGGAAGAAGGTGTAGGTGTTGTGTGCCGCAGCCATTGGAAGCTCTCATCCAGAGGGGTCCATGGTGACCAGAGCTGGTATCCTGCCATTGCTGGTCTAAAGGAAAGGAATCAGAACATGGAATTTCCCTAGCATGGTTTTGGTGAGGGCATGGCCATTCAAATTCACATCTTTTCCACACTGACTTTAACTTACTCTAGTCCCCATAAACAGTCCAATAGATGTTAGGGTACTAGTATCTCTAAAGAGTAGTAAGGGATGGTAACAAGTCTTGAATCTATCAAGTGCCATGTGTACTAAAACTTTATTAAACCTATCACAAGTCTTTGAAGGTAGATTTTAACCCATTTTACAGATGAGGAATACAGAGGTGGGCAATAATAATAAATATACAATAGTTAATAAGTAATACAAGAATAAACTTGTGTATTCACAACTGTAAACCAACTTTTGCCCACCCCTGTAGATTTGCCCTAAATGGAGTATCCCAGTTCACCATTAGGATCTGTGCTGTTGATAACTGCTAAAGACACCTCTGAGGTTGCAGAGGCTGCTGGCGCTTCAAGATCAGATATTAATTGTGATTAGAAGCTCAGAAAGGCCCCATCTTACCCAATATGTGGGACTCTGAATCCCATGTACTTATACCAGTGGTTCTCAAAATATGATCCCGGGACTAGCACCTTTCAAACTCAGAAACTCTGGGGGTAGGGCCCTGCAATCTGTGCTTAAGTAAACCCTCTGGGGATTCTGATGTACTTATAGTTTGAGAACATATACTGCTCCTCTTAAGGAACTTATGCTTTCACTATTTTTAATTAGCAAGACAGTCTCTTGGCCCTAAAAACCTGTTTTCTGGCATAAGGGAGCTGTTCTTTCAGAACCCTGAGCTACTTATGCCATCTCAGAGGAAGTATACCAGGCTGGTAGGAAAATAGTTTCCAAAGGCCAGTCTTTAAATATTTCTAAAGATTTTTCTGGTTCTTCTAGATGTGTTTTGTTTTTTGTTTTCTTACCTACGGGAGACCCACTCGCTAAGAACTTTATTTTTCTGTTCCTTTTGAAGATAAAGGTCTGGGAGGATGTTGCTAACTCAAAAATGTACTCAAGTAGAACTTGGATTTTCCTTCAATCTACCTTAAAATTGTCAGTATATAAAGGGTTTTCCTGCCCTAACAAGTCTGGCTCAGTGGATGGAGCGTCGGCCTGCGGACTGAAGGGTCCCGGGTTCGATTCCGGTCAAGGGCATGTGCCTTGGTTGCAGGCACATCCCCAGTAGGTGGTGTGCAGGAGGCAGCTGAGTCGATTTTTCTCTCTCGTTGATGTTTCTAACTCTCTATCCCTCTCTCTTCCTCTTTGTAAAAAATCAATAAGATATGTTTTTTTAAAAAAAATAAATAAAGGTTTTTCTGAATTCAGGAGACGCTAACATTTATTGAGCATGCACTATTATGTTAAGGGACATAACAGATCCCTTTTCTTTTTATTTATTTTTTTTATTTTTATTTTTTTTAAATATATTTTATTGATTTTTTTACAGAGAGGAAGGGAGAGAGATAGTTAGAAACATCAATGAGAAAGAAACATTGATCAGCTGCCTCCTGCACACCTCCCACTGGGGATGTGCCTGCAACCAAGGTACACGCCCTTGACCGGAATCGAACCTGGGACCTTTCAGTCCACAGGCTGACGCTCTATCCACTGAGCCAAACCGGTTAGGGCCCTTTTCTTTTTAGCCAAGTGTATTTCTCTGTCCCTTCTCTTTTCTCCAAAAGGAAACAGCAGCAGATTTGATTCCATCCAGTAATGGTGTGACAAATTAACACCTCCACCATCCTTTATGAGACAGTAAAGTTCATTTTTTAAAAGGAATTGGTAACATTTCAAGCCAGAAGACCTGCTCTAACAGTGGTTAGTATAGAGATTTGTTGATTTCCTCCAACTGGTGTCTCCTGAACTATGCTGGCCTTTTTGCATACTGTGTTCAAATGTCTGGGCTGCTTTAGGATGAGAAACTGACACCCCAGGGGTACTTATCTATTCCAAACAGCCTACCAAAGGCATCTGATGCTTGAGATCATGACCCTGAGAGCATACAACCAGGATCAGTGCCACTCTGGTACACAACCATGGCAAGGTGGTGACCAAAATAAGTATCCTTTTCCTGACTCACCTTTAGCAAAAGGGGCTAGAGGTGTTAAAAAAAAAAAAAAAAGTCTTTGTTAAATGTCCAGCCTAAGTATTCAGCAGAACCGGCATGGGATGAGAAGGGCTTCTCACCCCAGGTCTTTCCACCACTTTCAGGCAAGTTTACATAAAGATGGTTCACACCCCCTTCACCTCATCCCCCCTCCTACCACCCAGAACTCACTGTCATCCTCTCCAAGGGGGATTGAACCTAGGAAGTCTATTCAAACTGCTCTAATAACTCCCCAATGGGAAACCGTGTTCTGGCCAAAAAGGGTTCCCCTTCATACTAGTCCTCCAGTTCCAAGGAACCGGGCCCCCCAATGTCCCCACCTGGGAAAGAGAAGGCAACGTCAAAGAGCCGCTGAGGTCCTTGTAAACTGCAATCCAAGGGGCTGAAGCTGCCTGTTGTGGGGGAAGCTTCCCGTCCCAGCCGGAAAACAGGCTTGTTCCCTGGGAGTCCCCTACCCCGGGCCGGGCCGGGGCCAGAGGGCTCTGGCTGAAGAGGTGGAGGTGGCGGTGGGAGCCCAGACCCGGTCCCACCATCCGGGCTGGGAGCTCACCTGCTGAACTCCACGGCCATACGCTCCAGAGTGGAAGCTGCTGGTCCCCGCTGCATCTTTTCTCCACCAGGCGCCTGGCAACCGCCTTTGTGACCCAGGACCCTGGGAGCGGGGGGAGGGGGGTGTAAAGACCCGAGCGGCGCAAGGGGGTGGGGAAGTAGGGGGGCGGGGCCGTCTGGGCTGGACTCCCCACCGCCACCTCCTTGGAATGCCAGGTCCAGAAGTGCAGGTTCGAATCCCGCTTCCTCCAGCACCTCCCTGGTGCGCTACATCGATGTGCCTTTGATCTAGTTGCAGAGCAGGGGCCTGCCCACTTCAAGGGGTGTGGTCAGGAACGTGCTTCAAAATCCCGGGACCAACCGTTAGTTTAAAAGTCTTTATTAAACCTGCTCAGTGGGTGTTCAGGCAGAGTTACCCAGACTTCTGAAGGCTTTTGTTGCTGCATTGGAATGATCCCCGTGCAAGGAGACAGAATGTACTAGTATAAATGCACGCCTATCTAGAACAGGAAAAAAGATGCATGTCTTCTTCCCTTGACTTCCTGGACTGAAAACCTTTCTCTGCCTTCTATTAAACCTCAGAAAGACGATGCTGTCCCATCCTCACCAAGCTGAAAAACGGAATCTTTCAGCATAGTATGAGTGATCTGACAACTTTGACAGCATCACTCAATTACCCGGACCGCTGAGGGAAGACAGATCTACCCAGTTGACTCCTATATCCTGATGCCTGGCTACCGCACTGCCTGGCAGGCAGGAGGTACTTGGGGAGGAGGAATTAACTAACGGCCCACCTGCCCTTCCCTTAAACACCCAGACGTTGGCCTTGCACTTTGGGAACTATATAACACAAATTAGAGCTGTCACCTTTCGTCTGGCTCTTTGGGTGAAGCTGAAGTGCGGAGACTGGGGACTAGGGGAGGGGTCAGGCTGAGATTCTGGTTTGGAAGGCCAGATAGTCTTGAGAAGCTTGTCAAGAACTGTCAGATGCTGTGTGTGTGTGTGTGTGTGTGTCCCTGTGGAAGGAGAGCTAAGTGGAGATTGGAGGAGTCGTCAAACTGCAGAGATGGCCAGAGAATGACGACTCTTGGAAGAGACTAAAATGATTTTGAATTACAAAACTTTTTTTCAGTAAGTTTTTAATTTTCCTCTTGTTATTTTAAAAGCAAATAAAATAGTTTTTATTGCACAGGTTTTTTTGTTTTATTTTTTAAAAATATAGTTTATTGATTTTTTACAGAGAGGAAGGGAGAGGGATAGTTAGAAACATCGATGAGAGAGAAACATTGATCAGCTGCCTCCTGCACGCCCCCTATTGGAGATGTGCCTGCAACCAAGGTACTTGCCCTTGACGGGAATCGAACCTGGGACCCTTCAGTCCACAGGCCTACACTCTATCCACTGAGCCAAACCGGTCAGGGCATGCACAGTTGTTTTTTAAAAATATATTTTTATTGATTTCAGAGAAGGGAGAAGGACAGAGAAATAGAAACATCAATGATAAGAGAGAATCATTGATTGGCAGCCTCCTGCACGCCCCACACTGAGGATTGAGCTCCCAATCCGGGCATGTGCCCTGACTGGGAATCAAACCGAGACCTCTTGGTCCATAGGTTGATGCTCAACCACTGAGCCACACTGGCTGGGCAGGATATCGTTTTCCATTGTTTTTCAGAGAGTGGAAGAGAGGAAGGGAGGGGAGGAGGGAGAGAGAAACATTGATGTGAGAAAAACACATTGACTGGTTGCCTCCTGCATACCACCCTGAACTCACCTGCGCTTGATCTTGTCATTAATTTACAAATTTCCCTTCGCTGGTTATTATTGTGAAATATATATATAAACATTTTGTTCATTTGATAAATGTAAGGTGGAACATCATATTGTGTTGTTGAAAAGCATTTTGAAAATAACTTGGGCTTAATGTGATTTAATCGGTTATGCCCAACTTATTGCTGACACAGACCATAACCTAAGTCTGGAGCAGCTGACTGAGTGGGAGGGTGACGCGGGCCCACGCTCCCGCCAACCGCCAGCGACCCGGTATTGCGGTGGGTGGGGGGCTCCTGGCGCATGCCCACCCCATTTTCCCGGTCGGAGTTGAGCAGAGTTAACGCCGGCGAGGACGTCACGTCGCGCAGGCGCACCACGATGCCAGCTGATACGTGGGTGCCGAGGGAGGGTGTGGGCTGGCGGCGCAGGCGCACGGGCGTCCTGGAGGATCGGGGCGCCTGCGCAGTCGCACTTCCTTAGGCGGCGGCCATGGCGGGACAAGAGGATCCTGTGCAGCGGGAAATTCACCAGGACTGGGCGAATCAGGAGTACATTGAAATCATCACCAGCAGCATCAAGAAAATCGCGGACTTTCTCAACTCGTTCGGTCAGTGGGCGGGCGGCGGGCTGGAGGGAGGTCTCGGAGGTTTGGCCGGGCGCTGAGAAGCTTTGACGGGCTCTCTCCGGGAGACCTCGACTCTTGCTTTTCTCTTCCTCCTCTTCCAGGCCCCACCTTCCTCCTCCCTCCCTGACCCCAGGCTCCACTGGACAGTCCCTGTAGGGTTACCCTGCTCCACGCTGAGCTCATGGGCCTTATTGCCATTACTCCGGATCCGTTGGCAAGTTCTTCCTTTTCCCAGACACGTCAGGCAGCCCCATCCACCCTGGGCGTCCTCTCGTCAGTAGTCTTCTTGCTTCCTTGGCGCCCCACTTCCCTTCCAGTTCCCACTTGTATTCAGAGTGCACCCTCTAGGTCTAGATTAGAACCTAGCCGTGGCCGTGTCGCTGCGCTGTGGATAGACCCGTGCCGGTTCCCCATCTCCTTCAGGTTCGAGTGGAAACCTTGAGCGCCGTGCCTTTTACTGCCTGCCCCGTTCAGCCTTCTCCGGTCCGGTCCGTTCCTTCCTGTCTCCCCTGTTGGCTGTGCTGAGAGTGGTAGGGGGTAAGGTCAGAGGTCAGGTCCAGGTTGTGTGGAGTCATGGAAATCTTCTCTGTGTTGTTAGTATCTAGCCGGCAGTAGGTGTTCTTTCAGCTTCTGGCAAAATCTTTCCTCGGCATGGCCTGCTCATGACAGTCTTTATTCCGTATTCTTCTGGACAGCAATCCTGTAACAGAACCCCATCCCATGTCCTTCAGATGTTTAAGAACTGGGTAGACTTAGTGATCACAAGGTGTAGGGGCCACATCTAGTGATCTTTTCAAACTCATGTGCTCTGTTCCACGAATTCAGCAAAAGTAAGCAATTAAAATTAAGTAGGGGAAATGATCTATAAAAAAGATGTTAAAATGTATTATTTTCTAGCTAGAGGAGTGGTGAGTTCTAAGGACAGAGCATGGAATTTGTCAGAAAGCATCAGCAAGAGAAACTAGTTCTCAGTGCAAGACTCTCTCCGGACTATGGAGGACACAGAACAAGAACCACTTCCTGAGTCAAATAATTTAAAAAAATTTTTTTTTATTGATTTCAGAGAGGAAGGGAGGGCGAGAGAGAGAGAGAGCTAGAAAATCAATGATGCAGAACAAGAACCACTTCCTGAGTCAAATAATTTAAAAAAATTTTTTTTTATTGATTTCAGAGAGGAAGGGAGGGCGAGAGAGAGAGAGAGCTAGAAACATCAATGATGAGCGAGAATCATTGATCTGCTGCCTCCTGCATGCCCCACCCTGGGGATCGAGCCTGCAACGAGTAAAACTGTGACCTCCTGGTTCATAGGTTGACACTTAACCACTGAGCCTTGCTGGCCAAGCCTGAGTCAAATAATTTTATCTTCAAGATGAAATAATAACTTCAGAACAAAGCAGAACATTGTTTTTTATTAATATATTTACATATAAGGTATATAGGTCTATAAGCTTGATGTATCTTGATATGGTGGACTTCCTCACTTTCCAGGGATTGGGGATGAAGGTAATATTATTGAGAGAATAGTATGAATTTATGTCAATAATACATGTTCATACAAAAAACTTGCTTGTAGTAGGGAATGGTATCAAGAAAGTATATATCTCAAATACCTTGAAATTTTTTGAGGACTGAGTGAAGGAACATGGTTTAGTGAAAGATAAGTGGGTTTGGAGACAGGAGACGGAAGTTCAAAAAAACTAGATTGATTTTAATGAACTGAAAACATTTGAGAAATACTGACATTTACCCTGATACTCAGATATTCTGAGTTTTTCCTCAGAGATGTTTTTTTAAAAAATTCCATGCAAAATCTTTCAATGTTAGTTCTCATAACTGGTTTCTTCTGCTTTTCCATTAATTAGGGGGTTCTTCACAGCATTCTTTACTCATAACATTCCCTCAAAAGAAGGACCAGGTAAGAGAAACCAAAAGATTGCATGCTAAGGGAAAGATGGAATGATGACAAGATCATAGCTTTGGTTTTGTCTGGAAAGTCAGTGGAAAATAGTTGGAAACATCACTAACACGGAGAGTTTTAGCTTTAAAAAGTAGAATTAAAAAAGACTTCATTCATCTGGTACATAATATCGGATATGTACACATAGAATATCCAAGCAATGCTCTAACCACTGAGAACACCGGCCAGGGCTATATTAACAAACTTTTAATTCACATTTATCTTTGACATAAATCTTCTTGACATATCATAGCCATTAAATTTATATAGTGGGTAAGTCTTGCAACTGACTGAAAATTGAAAAATCTGAGCTTAGTATTTGCCAAGGAGAAATGTATTTTTTTCTTATTTTATTAGCAAAGAAATACCTGCTCTGAGATTTTATCAAATGTGTGTGAGTCACATTTTGTGATTAGATAGAGAATAAAGACTTTTCTTTTTATTCAAGATTTCCAACAAGTCTTAGGCTGAGAAAATAGACACAGAATTCTAATCTTTAGGAGCCGGAAGAAATGACTTCCCTTAGCTGGCTGTTATTCTCCCTTAAGTGATGGCAATGACCTGATGTTTGGAGTAATTACTAGGTGGGTTTTGAAAATTTTGTTCATTTATTTACTTATTTATTTTTAATATATTTTTTATTTTAGAGAGAGGGATAGAAATGTTAATGATGAGAGAGAAAGAATCATTAATTGGCTGCCTCCTGCATGCCCCACA